CCCCCAATTTCCGCCCCTCTCACCTTGTAGAAGTTGAAGACCAGGTCGAGCTCGCAGACGTTGTGGAAGTATTCATTGAGGACCTGCGGGTAATTAATTAGTCAATTAGCCAATTAATTAGTTAATCGATAATTAATTAATCGGTTAATTAATTGGTTAAATAATTGGTTAATTAATTAATTGGTTAATTAAGACACTGGAAGGAACTGGGAGAGGGGGAAATATGGGGAAATAAAGGGGCCTGGGAGGGGGGAGATGGGAATAACTAATTAACTAATTAACTAGTTGACTAATTAACTAGTTGGGTCATTAACTAGTTAAGGAAGGAACTGGAAGGACTGGAGAGGGGGAAAGATGGGGAAATAAAGGGGACCTGGGACTGACTGGGAGAGGGGGGATGGGAATAACTAATTACCTGACTAATTAACTAATTGGTTAATTAAATAAATGGCTCATTAACTAGTTAACTAATTAGTTAATGAAGTAACTGGGAGAGGGGAAAGGATGGGAGAAAAGGGACCTGGGAGGGACTGAGAGAGGGGGGGATGGGAATAACTGATTGACTAATTAACTAATTGGTTAATTAACTAATTGGTTAATTAACTAATTGGTTAATTAACTAATTGGTTAATTAACTGAGTCAATTAACTAATTAAGGAAGGAACTAGGAGGACTGGGAGAAGGGGAAAGATGGGGAAATAAAGGGGCCTGGGAGGGACTGGGAGAGGGGGGATGGGAATAACTAATTAGCTAGTTGACTAATTAACTAGTTGACTAATTAACTAGTTAATGAAGTAACTGGGAGAGTAATTAACTAGTTGACTAATTAACTAGTTGACTAATTAACTAGTTGACTAATTAACTAGTTGACTAATTAACTAGTTGACTAATTAACTAGTTAATGAAGTAACTGGGAGAGGGGAAAGGATGGGAGAAAAGGGACCTGGGAGGGACTGAGAGAGGGGGGATGGGAATAACTGACTGACTCATTAACTACTTGACTCATTAACTACTTGACTCATTAACTACTTGACTCATTAACTACTTGACTCATTAACTACTTGACTCATTAACTACTTGACTCATTAACTACTTGACTCATTAACTAATTGACTCATTAACTAATTGACTCATTAACTAATTGACTCATTAACTAATTGACTCATTAACTAATTAAGGAAGGAACTGGAAGGACTGGGAGAGGGGGAAAGATGGGGAATAAAGGGGACCTGGGGAGAAGGATGGGATTAACTAATTAATTGACTAATTGGCTAATTAACTAGATTACTAATTAACTAGTTAATTAAGGAACTGGAAGGAACTGGGAGAGGGGGAAAGATGGGGAAATAAAGGGGACCTGGGAGGGACTGGCAGAGGGGGGATGGGAAAATGAACTAATTAACTGATTGACTAATTAACTAAGTATTTGACTAGTTTCCTGATTAGTTAATTAAGGAACTGGAAGGACTGGGAGGGGGGGAAGGAGAGTAGCTAATTAACTAATTAATGAACTAGTTAATTAAGGGACTGGGAGGAGGAAAAGGATGGGAAAATTGACTGATTAATTGACTAATTGACTAATTAATTGACTGATTAAGGAACTTGGAGAGGAGGAGGGATGGGAAAGTTTAATTAATTAGTTAACTCATTGACTAATTAACTAGTTAACTCATTGACTAATTAAGGAACTGGGAGAGGGGAAAGGATGGGAAAAATAATTAATTGACTAATTAACTAATTAAGGTACTAGAAGAGGTAAGGATGGGAAAAATTAACTAATTATCTAGTTAAATTAATTAACTGGTTAATTAGTTAACGAGGGAACTGGAAAGAACTGGGAGAGGGAGAAGGATGGTAAGATTAACTAATTGGCCAACTAATTAACTAGCCAATTAACTAGCCAATTAACAAACTAGGAGAGAGGGAAGAATTAATTAAGAGTTAATTAAGGAATTGGGATGAAGGGATGGGAAAAATAGCTAATTAGCCTATTAACTAATTAGCCAATTAACCAACCAATTAACCAGGAGAGAGGAAAGGATGGGAAAAATGGGACATGGAGGGACATGGGAGGATGGGAAAAATTAGCTAGTTAATCAACTAATTAACCGATTAATCAACTAATTAATCAGCTAATTAATTAATCAACTAATCAACTAATCAATCAATCAACTAATCAATCAATCAACTAATTAACTAGTTAGTTAATTAAGGAACTGAGAAAGGGGGAAGGATGGGAGAAATGGAGACCTGAGAGAGACTGGGAGAGGGGGAAGGATTAATTAATTATCTAATTATTTAATTAGCCAGCTAATTAATTTATTATTTAGTTAATTAAGGAACTGGGAGAGGGGGAAGGATGGGAGAAAAGGGGACTTGGGAGCGACTGGGAGAGGGGGAAGGATGGGAAAAGGAACTCCATAACTAATTAAGTGATTAATTAAGTGATTAACAAGTGCCTAATGAGGTAATTAACGACCTCGACGAAGTTGTGGATGGCCTCCAGGTAGGCCAGGTTGTTGTCGGTGACGTCCACGCAGATGCAGAAGTAGAGGCCGGCGTAGCGGCGGTAAATGATCTTGAAATTGCGGAACTGCGGAGAGAGAGCGGCACTGGGGGAACTGGGAGGGAACTGGGAGCACTGGGAGGGACTGGGGGGAACTGGGAGAGCACTGGGAGGGAACTGGGAGAGCACTGGGAGGGAACTGGGAGAGCACTGGGAGGGAACT